GTATGTGGAGCTTGAGGTTCCCATAAGAAGTCTACATATAGAAGTTCAGGATCCTGTTAAGTATATAGAGTAGGAGTTCAGAAGGTAGATTTTGGTTTAGAGTCATTAGCATCTGGAAGAGTTCTTCTTGATGCTTTGTGCTGTTGGATGTCTGGGAAGCCTATGGATCTTTTCTCAGAATAACTTTTTAAATAGAACATATACACATATATTAGAATATAAACAGAATATATATACAATAAATAAATTGAATATATAAATATATAAAAATGCGTATGTATAGATAAATAGAAAAAATATATGACTTGAATGCAAGTTTTTTGACTGTAAGCATTTTTATCTAGATATTTTGGGCATGTGTTGCAGTAAGCATAGTGTCAGACACATAAGAGCACTCTATGAATGTTTGATAAATAAATGAACATTTGGTCCAAGCTTCAGCCTGATGGTTAACAGCAGCTCAATAAAAAGGTGGAAGGAACTAGGTGTGGTGGTGCAGGCCTGTATCCCAGCACTGTGGGGGGGCCGAGGTATGAGGATAGCAACTTCAAGCTCAGCCCTGGCAATTTAGCCACTTAGCCCCTGTCTTAAAGTAAAAAGTGAAAGAACAGGCTGGGGAGTAGCTCAGTGTAAACGCCTTGGGTTCAAGCCCCAGTACCACAAAAAAAGTCAAAGGACTGGTCAAAAGTATCAGTTTGTAGATATTCATACAGACTTATACTCCAGGATGATTATTCTTCTATCATTTAAGGCAGGAATCCCCTCAAGACTGTGTCTTCAGTTAGATGTCGATAAAGAAGCACCATGGACTGGGTAGTATACAAACAGCAGAAGTTTCTTCCCTACAGTTCTGGAGGCTGCAAGTCTGAGGTCAGAGTATCCCCATGATCAGATTCTGAAGAGGACCTTCTTCTAGGTTGCAGACTGAACCTCAGGGGAAGGACATGAAAAGGAATAAGAAAGGCTATTGGACTTGCTGAGTTCTACAGGACAGGACCATGTAGCTATTTGTTGCAAACACAGTATATTCTTCAAGGTAAGGGAAAAATAAAGCAGTAGGTCATTCACAGATAATCGGTGTTGTGTCATGGGGGAGAGGCATCACCTTGCTTCCAACAGGCCAGAAGACCTCTGCTAAAAGCCATAGAGGTGGGGCTGCTGAGGGGCAGTTTTTCTTCTGGGGTAACTGATCAAACCTGTGGTTCACACCCAGACTGATCTCCTTACTAAAAGAGTCACTGGGCACACCCTTCGTGTTTTCTGAATATGCTTCCTCATTTCTGCAACATAAATAGAAAATTTTCAACTTTTTTCATTCTAGTTCCTTTTTGCTAAACAATTCCATCTTCATGTTGTTTCCTTCTTGCATTTTACTATAAGCAGTCAGGAGGAACGATGCCATACTTTCAATATTTTGCTTAGAAATCTCAGCTAAATTTCCAATTTCATTGCATGCAAATTCTACTTTGCACAGAATACAGTTCAGCCAACTTAATCGACAGTTTATAAGGAGGACTTAATTGTCTCCATTGTGTAATAGCATGTTCCTCGTTTCTGAGACCACATCAGAATGGCCTTTACTTTCAACATTTCTACCAATATTCTAGAAATTATTATTTATATATTCTCTAAGAAAATGAATGTTTTCATCTCTCTCCTTTCAAAGCCCTCACCAGAGTCATTTACATCCATTCACAACAATCTCAGATTCTTCAAAAATTCTTACAACCTCTACCCATTACCCAGTTCTGAAACTACTCCCATATTTTTAGAGATTTTTTTAACAGCAACATGTGATTTCTTGATTCCCAACTCCTGCCTCAATTCAGATGTCTAAAATACCAATATTCTAGAAATTATTATTTATATATTCTCTAAGAAAATGAATGTTTTCATCTCTCTCCTTTCAAAGCCCTCACCAGAGTCATTTACGTCCATTCACAACAATCTCAGATTCTTCAAAAATTCTTACAGCCTCTACCCATTACTCAGTTCTGAAACTACTCCCTTATTTTTAGAGATTTTTTTAACAGCAACATGTGATTTCTTGATCCCAACTCCTGCCTCAATTCAGATGTCTAAAGTAAATTATCATAGACTGAGTTACTTATAAACAGCAGATATTTATTTCTCACAGTTCTGGAGACTAGCAGTCCACAAACATGGATAGGTCCTAGTGAAAGTCCTCTTCTGGACCATACTGCTGACCAATACTTTCATACTATGAAAATCAGGAGCTAGCTTTCTGTTCTCTTCCTTATAAGAGCACTAATCTCATTTGTGAGGGTGCCACCCTTGAGATCTCATTATATCTCAAAGGCTTCACTTCCTAATAACATCACATTGGTATTAAATTTCTACATATTAGCCAAACATGGTGGTGCATGCCTGTAATCACAGCACTCAGGAGGCTGAGGCAGGAGGATTGCTGTGAGTTCGAGGCCAGCCTGAGCTACATAGCAAGACTGTCTAAAAAAAACAAACGAATAAATAAATAATACCTAATAAATAAATTTCAACATATGAACTTTGGAGAGACACAAGCACTCAGTTCATAGCACACTTCAAAGTGCCTTCTTACTGCTTTAAGAGGAGAAATGCTCCTTTAATTTTTAGAAATAAACCTTTCAATTTCCCATTTCCTTCTACTTTCGCTAAATGTTCTTCCCGTAATTAATAATGTTTCAGTTTTTATTTTAAATTGGATAGAGTATTTGATATGAAGATGAAGTAAGTCATTAAAAGTTAGTTGATAAAGTTTATATCCAAAACCTGGTGATTATGATGTCAGAGTATGATGTAGCATCACAGTGATGTCACAATCCCCTAGCTCAGGCTGAGCCACAGAAATCGCTCAGCTACCTGAGCAGAAGAAACATTTGAATAAGGCTCTGACATGAATGAATGTTTTTGTGTCCTACTTTTGTCCGTTTGGACGACAAATTGCTTAAATACAAGCACAAGTAATGGGTCTTTTACTACAGGTAGGTACCTGGCCTTAAACTTCACAAATTATGAGCATTATATTACTTATTCAAATAGTTAATTTAAAGGGCTGTGTTAAATAAATCTGTTGTTACTTTGATGTTACTAGTAATAGTAGTAGAAGTTCTAGTATAACAGCTGATATTTTTGTTTCTGTGCGATACACTTTAGCTAAATATGAGCCTAAAGAGTATAGACTACTAGTCCTCCTTTACTTCCGTTTTTCACCCAATGCCTCAACCAAACTAGATAATACAATGCAAATGAATCTCACACAGGACTTACCAAACAGTAGGGTTTTGTTTTTTGTTCTGAGACAAAGGATCTTACTGTTGCCCAGGCTGGTCTCACATTGCTGAGCTCAAGGAACCCTCCCACTTCAGCCTCCTGAGTATTTGAGACTAAGAGAAACACACAATCACACTGGACCCAACGGTAAGTTTTGACAAGGACTTCTTGTCCTAGTCCCTTCCCTGTCACACACTTTCATAGGTAAATCCACTCACATGTGCAAAACCTACACACAATGCAAAACTGAGGTACTACGGTGAACAAAACATGATGCAGGGGTAACACAGGTAAGTTCATGGGTTAGCCAGAGATGCCTCTCAGCTTTGAATTCTAGACTGTGACTAGTCATATGCATAGAGAAAAAAATTATGGTAGAAATTTAAGGCTTGAAAAACCATTAATGGCCAGGTGTGGCAGTGCACACCTGTGATCCCAACACTCAGGAGGCTGAGGCAGAAGGATCACCAAGAGTTTGAGGCCATCCTGGGCTACATAGTGAGACGCTGTCTCAAAATTTAAATTAAAAAGTTAATGAAGAGATTTCTTTTGAACTTCACAGCATATCACTCTCAACTTGGATGAAAACTTGGTTACAAATACTCTCTGATATTATAATCTCTTTGTAGGAGTTAAGACTCTTGATGATATAAAAGAAGAAAAACTAGAAGATGATACGAAGAATTTACTCAAAGCTTTAATTGTTGTGATCGTGATCATATCGGTGTTACCTCCGATGTGTTTCTGCCTTACCCATCACAACTGCATGATTGAACCCGTCGAAAACATCGTAAGCATTGATTGATTGTAAAGCTGTAGATTAAATCCAGGGCCTCATGCATGCTAGGCAAGTGCTGTACCACTAAATTACAGCCCTGGACTAGTTTTATACCTTTAAATTAAGAAAGCAAGCCAAACATGGTGGTGCAAGGCTATAATCCCAGCACTTTTGGAGGCTGAAGCAGGAAAACTGCAAGTTTCAGTCCAGCCTGGACAACTAAGTAACTTAATGAGACCCCGACTTTAAATAAAAAAGGGCTAGGAATGTAGTTTAGTAAGAAGACCTTAGGTTCAATTCCCACTACCATAAAAAAGGAAAAAAATAATTATTGCATGGTTTCTCTTTTATGAAAAGCCTGAAATATAAACAAAGAGCAAAATAAAAGGCGGACAATAGTAACTAGAGAGATAGATCTTTTGCAAAAAGAAAAGGAGCCAAGAAATGGAGGGAGTGGGGGAGATGGATAGAAGGAGATAAATAATTAGATATGAACATGTACCGACTCTCCACAAAGAATGTAGCCATTGTGTACTAGAAACATGCACTAAGAAAAAACAAAAAACGAAAGAGTGCAAAGTATGTGTATGCATATAGATATAGTGCAGGTTTCATTACTGTTCAGGTTATTTAATGCTGACCTTAGACTTATAAAGAGCTACCAACCTCTTGTGGGTGGATACTTTCATTTAGATTGTGTATATTATTAAATATTCTCAAATGCATTATCAATTTTAGTCAAAGCTCTCCCATTCAAGGTTCAACAGAACCCTAGGTTATTAATTTTGTTATTTTGTTGTTGCTTTCAATTGTTGCTCTACAAATTTTCTGCTTTTCAGGGTCAAAAAGAAAGACGTAGGAGCTAAATCATCCTGGTCAAACATGCTAAAATGCAAGGAATCCAAGACAAAAGATTAGTGCATTACAGAAAATCAAGCTTTGCTCTCTAATGCCAACAATTTATCTAGGCCCACAACTCCAGAAATACCACCCATACCACCCAACGCAGGAAACTTAGTCAAGCAATCGAGTTCCAAAATGTCATGCAAATCACCAAGCCTCTTAGAATTATTCATAACATCTCACATGGAGAAGTCACGTAGGACATACCCAGAAAAGACACATAAACTAGCTGCACAAGCCACTTCATCCTCCTCAGTTAAACGAGTCAAGGTATCTTCACTAGCTAGTCTACAGTCTCTCGGAAAGCCAGCAGAGTCACCTGACCCTGAAAATCAAATCTTGCCACCCAAGCCACCCAGTATAATGGAATTGGCTAAGACACTCGAGTATCATCCAAAAATGTCAGGGAGTGTAGGGAAATTAGACATGGTATCCGAATCCCTTCAAGCCACAACTTGTAAGCATTATGCAGAAAAAGACCTTGTTTGCAAACCTTTCGATTCTTTTGTCTCAATTTCCAGGAAAATGCCAGATAACTTTCTGATTCAAATGAAATGATGTCTTTTGCGAGATTCTTTCATAAGGTAGGTTACCAGGACCATGAATACTTTGCTATTGCGAGTGACAATGATATGGATGATGACAGTGATAAAGAAATAATCATTATTTGTAACATAACGAGCAATGATTTGCTCCCTACAGGCTCCCCCAAATAATTAAGCGCTAAAAAACAAGAAAATCTAACTATAAAGGAACAAATTCATACCAACTGTTTTATGCTTGCCATCACCAAAAATGTACTTCTGATGACTATCAAGATTGGACTTATGCATGTTTGAGGCAATTTATGTTTAAAATCTCTATTAAATGCCTGATATAGCAAATTACTCCTGTGTTTATTATTTATTTTAAAAGTACAATGCTTATATCTTACTTATATACCATCATTTGAATAGGAAACTTATACACACATGCACACACAAACCTAGAAAGGAATTATACCATCGGTACTGTGGACTCTTCTTTTCCTTGGGTTAACTCTCATTTAAGCCCCGATCCAATGGAGTTGGTTTTGTTTGTTTGCTTTTGTATTTGCAGTGCTGCAGATTAAGGATGGAGTCACATCCCCAGCTGGATGTTTATTTTATGTTTCTGTAGGGCTAGAGATTGAACCCAAGGCCTTGTACATCCTAAGCAAATGCTCTGTCATTGTACCACCCCTCCAGCTCCTAAGGATTATTCTTTAATTTGTGTTTAGGTGTAGCTCTGGGGATCAAACCCAGGGCCATACACATGCTAGGCAAGCATTCTGCCATGGAGATATAACTTAGACCTACATTTTCATGTTTATGTTCAATCTTCACAGTTTAAGATTATGTCTTTTTCTGTTGTGCCTAGTGATTATTGGACATATGCCTGTGCTATGGTTCTTTTGTTACTTTTCTTATTGCTGAGATAAAATACCTGACACCCAACATTAAAGGAAAAAAGGTTTATTGAACTCACGGCTTGTAGAGGTTTCAGTCCCTAATTGGCAGGGTCTAAGGCAGGGTGGCACATGGCAAAAGGGCAACAGTTTATGGCAGTGGAAGACAGCAAAAGCAATAAGAGACATTAACAACTTCGCTCTGCCCCTTCTATCTTATCCAGACTGCCAGGATTAGGGTGGTGCCAAGCCAATGAGTGGACTGATTAAGTAATCATGCACCCTTAATCCCAGCAGCACACACTCTAGATTCAGCCACCTCTGAAAAAGCCACCTATGACCCCATGAGTCTTTGCGGGAACATCTAGACCCAAACCATGACATATGGCCTAAATATTTGTGTTCCTCCAAAATTCATGTGGTTAAAACAGAAGCTCCTATGATGGTATTAGGTGGAGCCCTTGGGAGGTAATTAGGTCGTGATGGCGGAACTCTCATGAATGGCATTAGTGCCCTTTCTGCCAGGTGAAACCCAACAAAAGGACTCCATTCTCAAACCATGGAGCTGATCCTCACCAGTCACTGAGTCTGTTGGTACTTTGGTCTTGAACTCCAGAATTGTGAAAAATAAATTTCTGTTGTTTACAAGCCATTCACTTTACGGCATTTAATTATGTGGTCTAACTAGACGAACACACCCTGCATGGCTTCTGGTGGAGCTGGAGAAATTTCTAGCACGACTGCTTCCAGAAACTGCCAACTAAAGTGAGATTTCAGCCAGCAGCACCCACACCTAGAGCTCCATGATACTGGTCTAAGTTCTCCAATCTCTGATACTCTCAACAAGGCTTCTCATTATTTTTGTTACCATTCAACCTTGTTTTTAAAAAAGTGTTCTCTTGTGTACATCCCACAGGTCCTAGGTGGAACCTCATCTACCTATGTCTCCTATATCATATCTATCAGTAGGGACAGGATGCCAGGGGAGAAGCTTGGAGTTATTCAGTCTAACTTTTTCATTGATTGAATGTTGTATTTGCATCTTCCAAGGGCATAGTTGAGAAAAACAGACAAAGTCCTGTACTCACAGCCTACATTCCAATAGAGTGCAGGTTGTCTCATATAGCATCTGACTTGCGTAAGCGAAATGCCGGTAGCTAGCATGGATTGAGTGTGTCAGGCACTGTACCAGGTACTTTGTATCTCACGAGCCCTGAGGTTGGCCTCAAGTTCACCAGTTGTTGAAAAGGACACACAAGACTAAATAGCAAGTTAAACTGGTGGTTAAAATTTATTACAACAAAATTATATAGATCAAGAGCTTGGGCCCCGATCCACCGAGAGAAGGAGAGCCACACCTGCTCCTGACAAAGCCACCATTGCTCAAGCGCCCGCAGGTGACCTGAGCCCTGATCCACCGCGGGAAGGAGAGCCATCCCTGCTCCCGACCCAGATCCCATCGCTCAAGAGCCAGTACGTAGCCTGGGCCCCGATCCACCAGGAAGGAGAACCATGCCTGCTCCCAACCCAGCCAACATCGCTCAAGCGCAGGTAGGTAGCCTGGGCCCCAATCCACCGCGGGAAGATGAGCCACGCCTGCTCCTGACACAGCCCCCATCGCTCAAGCGCCAGGAGGTAGTCTGGGCCCTGATCCACCGTGGGAAGGAGATCCAGGCCTGTTCCCGACCCAGCCGCCATTGCTCAAGAGGCAGTAGGTAGCCTGGGCTCTGATGCAACGCAGGAAGGAGAGCCAGGCCTGCTCCCGACCCAGGCACCAACACTCAAGCACCGGGAAGGTAGCCTAGGCCCTGATCCACCGCGGGAAGGAGAACCACGCCTGCTCCGGACCCAGCCGCCATCACTCAAGCACTGGGAAGGTAGCCTTGGCCATGATCCACCAAGGGAAGGAGAACCACGCCTGCTCCCGACCCAGCCAACATCGTTCAACCGCAGGTAGGAAACGTGGGCCCCCATCGACCACAGGAAGGAGAGACACGTCTGCTCCCAACTCAGCCCGCATGGCTGAAGTGCCGGGAGGCAGGCTGCGCCCGATCCACCACGGGAAGGGGAGCCACGCCTGCTCCCGGGAAGGGGAGCCAAGCCTGCTCCCGACACAGCCCCCATCGCTCAAGCGCCAGGAGGTAGCCTGGGCCCCAATCCACCGTGGGAAGGAGAGCCACGCCTGCTCCCAATCCAGCCACCATCTCGCAAGCACCAGTAGGTAGCCTGGGCCCCAATCCACCACAGGAAGGAGAACCATGCCTGCTCCCGACCCAGCCAACGTTGCTCAAGCACAGGTAGGTCGCCTGGGCCCCAATGCACCGCGGGAAGGAGAGCCACTCATGCTCCCGACCTAGCCGCCATCGCTCAAGCACCAGGAGGTAGCCTGGGCCCCGATCCACTGCAGGAAGGAGAGCCAGGCCTGCTCCCGACACAGCCAACATCACTCAAGCACTAGGAGGTAGCCTGGGCCCCCATCCACCGCGGGAAGGAGAGCCCCATCTGCTCCCGACCCAGCCGCCATTGCTCAAGCGCTGGTAGGTAGCCTGGGTCCCCAACCACCACAGGAAGGAGCGCTACGCCTGCTCTCGACCCAGCCCCCATCGCTCAAGCTCCAGGAGGCAGCCTGCGCCCCGATCCACCGCGGGAAGGAGAGCCACAGCTGCTCCCAAAACAGCCGCCATCACTCAAGCACCGGTTTGTAGCCTGAGCCAGAATCCACCGAGGTAAGGAGAGCCACACCTGCTCCCGACCCAGCCGCCATCGCTCAAGTGCTGGTAAATAGTCTGGGCCCTTATCCATCGCAGGAAGGAGAGCCACGCCTGCTCCTGACACAGCCGCCATCACTCAAGAACTGGTAGGTAGCCTGAGCACGAATCCACTGAGCTAAGGAGAGCCACGCCTGCTCCCGACCCAGCCGCCATCACTCAAGCGCCGGGAAGGTAACCGTGTGGGACCCCCTGAACCACCATAAGTCCCCCCCCCAGTACTCTCAGATCTCCTGACTGTGCCAGTCTTTGGACCCACTCTGCAGAGGCAGACTTTGTCATCAAGGGTATTTTTCTGAGTTCCGAACTTTGAACATCTTTAAAGAAAGGGCGTGGGAAACCTCTAATAGAAGGTTGTGGAGTTTAACCATTCAGAAGGTTGGGGAACTCAGTCTGGGCCTTGCAGCCTGAGGTCAGTCAGCATCGTGGGGTTCAGCCATCAGCTAACTGAGACCAGGGGACTTGCATCCTCACTCTGTGCCACTAAATGGTAAATACACTGTACTGAAATTTTGTTCACTGCAGACATGTTCTGGACTGCTTCTTGATTTCAATTTAATTTAAATGATTTAAGGGTGATAGACTAGTGACTACCACAGGTGGTCAGTGTCCAAGTTGTGCTTGATCTTAATGTGTTGCTGATTGTATCAGTTGGGATAAAGCACTGCAGTTGATTTGATGAGCTGTCTTCTCTGATGTTATGAAGATGAGAATGTCTGTGGGTCGTTAGAGACACATGCTAGGGTGCAATATATCAGGAAGATTTGGGTGATAACCCAGAGATTAAACCAAGGACAGTCCGGCAACAAAAATTAAAATGAGAAAACACTTAAGCAAGACACAAAGACAGATTTCCAGTTCACCAATGGCAAACAGTAGGGCAAATGAGGATGAAAAGGCCGATAGTGAACCACCAGGACACCCTGAACTCAAAGCACAGGAAGTAACAAAACAGATCCATCAGGCTCTAGAAAAATTCAAAACAGAAATAATTTCCCAGATAACCATAGAGATAGTGAGCAAAATGGAAGTCGTGATCCGAGACTTTAGAGCAGAAACTGACAAAATTATATAGATCAAGAGCATCAGAAAAAAATTACTATAGATTAGTGGAATCAAAAGACAACAAGCAGGCCAGGAATTTAGCTCAGTGGTTCTGCCGCCTGCCTCCCAAGCACAAGGACCAGAGTTTGATCCCCTGTACCCCCCCAAAAAAAATGACACCAAACTTAGTCTTTTGACTATTTCCCCATCTGGGGCCACACAAGACATGCTTTCTCTTTAGCAGAAAACAATGTAGATATATACATAAGGTCTGTGATCACAGAAAGCTGTTCAAATATCTGAGTCTGAGACTTTTATTGAGAGCCATGTAGAGACATCATGTTACATGACCAACCATGGCAACTAAAATTTAGGATCCCAACAATGAAACCAGATACACAAATTGTATGTTGACGTATGTGCAAATCTATGAAAAGCTGATAAGGTCTGACCCATTACTCTAGTTGTCAAAACATAATCATCAGTCATTAACATATGAACATTTGGGCTATATTCCCAAGCATTGGCCAAAGTTCAGTCATGGTTCC